TTCCTACTCCAGGAGCACTTTGACAAAACAGCACAACTTCAAAGCTTACAAGCTGCACCGGAAGACACAACAGAAAGAGAAGAGCTAAACCAGCAGTTGCGTGCTAACAGGCATGGTTTGTCAGGAGATGCGACCCCAAGGATTCGCGATGCTGCTCCAGCTGCTTATGCAAATGAAGGAACTACACCGCTTGGAGATCCCACTGTTTTGAATGCTGAAATCACTGCTGGTGCACTCGCGGCAGCTGCTGCCATTGCAAATCTCACTACACCCACAACTCCCTTTCAGGTACATCTCACTATTCCACCACCAACAGCACCAGCCAGACCAACAAGAAAGCGATTCAAAAGCAGAATGTTCTGCAGCAGATGTGGCTTCCTTAAGAGGGATCATGTTAGAGAGGTTGAAGGAGTTGCTGCCACCTGCACAAGGAACTATTGTGGAAGATGCAAGCAAAGGGAGGAGTTTCATGTCTCCTGTCCTATGGGACAGCACTGCACCCATCCTATCCATGCTGACAGATCTGCTGAAGTTGCTACTTGGTTTGACACTATTTCTTGTAAGTTGAAACTTATTGTTAATGCGAACACTACTGAGATAACAAACAGCAACAATTCTCACAGTTGATTTTTCCTTTCAGAACTGATTCATGTTCAAGCCATTGGGTAAGAGTATTCTCCATGATGGGCAGTGAAAGCTGCCCTGTGGGCAATGTACTGCTGGCTACTGGTCACCATTCCTGACAAGCTGTGTTTGTGCTTGCTCCAGCATTCTGTGTCAAACCAATGAAGCCACTCTGTAAGTAACAACTGCTTTGCTTCCCACTCCATGACACCAAATTGATTGTAGAGTGCATCCCTCATAAGTGGCCTCACTATCATCATGCACAACTCTTTTGCACTACGCTAAAAGCCAGTGTAAAGATCTTTCGAGTGTTTTGAGTTTGAGAGAATGAAAGTTATGAGAGGATTAGAAAGCTATGAAAACTAAACAACGAGAGAGATCCACAATCAAAGGATCGTAGATCTGAACTCCCGCGGGAGACTGTAGAGTGTGATAGAGTAGGTTGCGGTAGCAATCCTACTCACTCCACGATCCAAAAACGGAACGCGTGGAAGATTCGTCTGCATTTATCTAGTAGCGTGGAAGTGCTCCACGCTGGCTAAATATCTAGAGCGATGTTTCATCATCAACCTAGTATGACTAGAGCGGTCATGAGAACCCTGTCTCAATGACTATTCACGAAAGACTCAGTCATGAGTCGAACTCAAACCCTATCTAGGATCGAGTCGCGAATAAGGCTAAGAGCCGTGTATTGCACCCTTGTTTGTCAGCTGAGGGTGCAGCAGGGTCAAAACCAAAGGAGCTGAATCTACCGGTAGGGGAAGGTGCAAAGATGTATTCTTTCATGCCAGGGCGTTTGTGGTAGGGTTTGGATTGGAACATTTTGGTCAGCATGGGTTTCACTTCCATACATCTAGTAGCATCACAGATGACCAATACAGCTTTGTATGGGTCAGGGGTATGGGGTGGGGTTCCTTTATATCCCTTGGGGCGGTTCAATCCTGGAATCCATCTGTAGGCAAGACCGATCAAAGGAGCTTCTGATCTCCTTGGGAATTGGCTGATCCAGAGGTAGTCTGTGATGATCCTGCTATGGAGGAGTTCCATGTCAGTATGTCTGTTGGACATGGTGAAGAATCCCAAGGTTTCTTCAGACTCAGCTCCTTGAATGGTGGTTGGGTAAGCAGTCATCTTCTTTCCTTTGAACCAGTCCTCATGTGTGCCTTCTTGGTAGGATGGGAAGTTATCATCTTCAGTCTCATATCCCCAATACATGTAGAAGTAGACATCTTTGTTGTACTTAGCTGTGCCTGGACAGTGAATGTATTCAGCACATTTGATCCATTCATTGTGTTTGGGGAGAATGTCAGGACTCCTGAGAATCTTGGCTGAGGAGGAGGACTTGTAGGGGAGGCAAACAAGGGCTGCTTCTTCAGTTAGCATTCGTTCCCAGACTTCAACAACAGAGTCCCACAGATACTTCTTGGCAGAAGTGTCCTTGTCCATTTCCTCTTTCTTGGGGATGTATAGTTTGTACATCATGCGCTTGGTGTTGGAGCCGGGATTCTCCTCTAGCATCATCATGGCAAGGGCATTCTTTCTTTCTTTGATTTTCTTTTGTAGGGCCTTTTTCTTCTTGCGCTTTGAATGGTATTGCTGCCATTCCTCTTCCTCATCGCTGTCAAGATCCTCCTCTTCATCATCGCTGTCAATTTCCATTTCCTCAGAGTCATCACTTGAAGATCCATCGTCTTCAGGAAGGCCTTCAATGTTAATAATGCCTTCTTCCCTGACCTTCTGTCTGGCCTTTTGTTTGTCTGTAGGAGTGATTTGGTTGGCGGTGGTGGTAGGTTTTCCCTTGGGTGTGGTGTCTGATTTGTCAGGTTCTTTGGCTGACTTGCCAGTGTGTCCTGTGTCATTGAGCCTGGAGGTATCTTTCTGTTTTGGTGGATTCTTGAGGATTCCTGTCTTGGGTGCCTGTCTTGTTGGTTCCTTTGGTTGTGATGGGATTTGGGATTCCTTGTCTTTAATCTTCTTCCAGGCGTTAAACACCACTGATGGGCTAGTGGCATGAGGGATTGGGGTGAAGTAATCAATCAATGTTGTCTTGCCTTTCTTCTGGTTTGTCCTTGGTACTGAGAAGTAGGATCCAAGTGTCATTTGAGCGTTGAACCATACTTTCACTTGGATTTGTGGGTTATTTGCAATCTTCAATGTGGTGCTAAAGAGGGTGGGTTTAGTAGCAGCCAGCCTGAGGAAGTCTATGATCATGGCATTGGGGGTCCTAGTGGTGTAAAGGGAAAGGTCTGATCCTTCAACTTGGACATTGACTAGTGCAAGAAGGAATTTGTAGACTGTGCCAACGGATTGGTTCTGATTGTCTTCTGCAGCTGCAGTAGATACTTCAGGGGATTGGGCTTCAAAGCACAGGGCATTCCTATGTAATCTCTTGGCCACAGGGAGCAGTTCTTGCTTGGACAGGGGGGCTTTGGCTAATGATAGTTCTACCTTGCTCAGTTTGAAGATGGAGTATGAGGTAATCTGGAAGACTTTGTCTAGGGGGATAGACTTGTCATATTCAGATAATGCATCATTGGAGAACTCTTCTAATTCAAAAGTATTGGTAAAGAGTGTTCTGCCTTTCTTGGGGTCTCTGGTTGGGGTTGTTCCAGTGGGAGGTCCCCTACTACCCCTCTTGGAGGATGGTGGGGTAGATGACATCTTAGAATTCAGAGGAGTCTTGGAGTTAACTGAAACTGTGGTTTGGGAAGACATTGAGAAGGTCAAGTATCAGCAGCCTTGGACGCCTACAGGGGCCTGAATCTTGAACACCAACAGGGGCCTGAACCTTGAACACCAACAGGGTCCTGATTGCTGCTGCACACCAAGATAGATCAAGGTGGTACACTTGGTCAATGACTTGAAGGGGCTTGGAGGTTGATCTCAAAGATAAGGGCAAGAGACTTAGGGGGAATGTTCCAGAGATATAAGGGGATGAAGACTTAGAGGAAGTGTTTCGGAGATATAAGGGACAGAAGACTTAGGGGAAGTGTTTCGAAGATATAAGGGATAGGAGATTTAGAAGGGGTGTTTCAAAGATTTAGGAGGTTGGCTGTTGGTTGGATTGTTGGTTCGAGAGTTTGATGCTTGCCCGATTGTAGTAGGATTGCAATGGGGGAGAGCTCCAAATTCTTGGGAATGTTCCAGAGGTATAAGGGGATGAAGACTTAGAGGAAGTGTTTCGGAGATATAAGGGACAGAAGACTTAGGGGAAGTGTTTCGAAGATATAAGGGACAGGAGATTTAGAGGGAATGATTCGAAGACTTAGGAAGTTGACTGTTGGTTGAATTGTTGTTCCGAGAGTTTGATGCTTGCCCGATTGTAGTAGGAATTCGATGGGGGAGAGCTCCAAGTTCTTGACAATGCAATTCAACAGCCGGTTGGTTGGATCGGTTCTAGTCACCTTGGAGGTACGTCTTGTGAGATTTAGAGGGAATGTTTCGAAGGCTTAGGAGGTTGGCTGGTAGTTGAGTTGTTGTTCCGAGAGTTTGATGCTTGCCCGATTGTGGTAGGATTGCAATGGGGGAGAGCTTCAAGTTTTGTGGGCTGCAAGTCAATGGCCGTTGGTTCGAGTTGTTGTTGTTGTTGGTTGGTGTTGTGGTTGTGATTACGATTTTCGAAGATGAATCACCTGTAGAAAGTGTACCAGGTTCTACGCAGAATGACTGGTATCTTCTGTGGCAGCAATCACGATCGATTGATCGGTTGGCCGTTCGGCCCCGTAGAGGACTTTCCGCTGTTGCTGAGAGGCTCCAATGGGACCGGCAGTGTTAATAAGCTTGTTGTTCTTGTCTGTTTAGTCTTTTCGATCGGCCGTTGGCCATGGTCGATCTTTTTCGATCAAATCGTTCTATGGGGTTTTCTTTGGTTGTGATTAGTTTTACGTAGGTTTCTACGCGATTTGAGTACTGGGTCATAATAAAAGTCTTTTCGATAAAGCCAATGCTGGAATTATCCCCCCCGTTACATTTCTTAGCTAAACATTAAACTCAGGTGGGACTTGATGGATAGATTCGTCCTGCTGATTCTCAATCAGATTGCTTGTACTTCTATCGGGTTTCTTCATACCTCTCCACAAACAATTTGAATCATGGACACTCATATCACTTCTTAAGAAAACTTTCCATGGGCCATGCTCATTTCCATTGACTACAGACCCAGCACGGGCATAGCATCCTGGGTGCAACAATCCTGATACATGGGTGTCGCCAAGGGTAAGTCCATTGAGATCGAGGTAATGTCCGCTAACATGGGAGCTGTCCACAATTGCTCTCCCTTTGAAATGTAAGCAACCGTACTCATAGATAGCATTACCAAAGTACCAGAGGCAGCCATCCACCTCTGCTCCCATGAATCGAGCATAATAGGTAAACATGGGAGTACCAGAAAGGAGCAGTTCCAGCAAATTTCGAACACGGAAAAACCAGACATGGTTGATGTAGACTCCGTACAAAGATTCTTGAACATTGGTTGGGAGCCTCAGCAACAGCCATTCAATCGTCCTTGTGGAAAGAATCCACACAGAAAGGAGTGTGAAAAATGCCGCAAAAAAGCAACTTGTTGCAATCCAAGTTGAGGATGTTTGGGTGGCATGATAAACAATCTCATAGGCAGGTATGAGGCTTGCGAAAAGAATAATGTTGAGAATTTGTTGTGACAATTCTGGAAGAAAGATGTTCATAAGGATGGATGACTTCGATTTTGGTGTTGCTTTGTTCAGATCATAGACACTGTCGGACAGGTTGGTCCTTGGTGGGATCATTGACCGAACTATCTTGACACCAGGGTGAAGATTAACGCTGTAGCCCACACTACTGTTGATGATCTCAATTTTGGAGTCAGCTTTACAATCAAAATCAAAGGTGATGGTTGCGACAAAGGACTTCCGGATCTTCACAAAGTCCACCCTTGAAGGAGAGAACTTGGTGAATGGAGTGAAATTTAGTTCTGATCTCAAGTCAACATCAAGACCATGAAGGAAAAGAATGATGTTCCATAGTTTTGAGTGGCCAATGAGTGGAGTGATGGGCAAAGCAGCTACACGGAAGTGGAAGTCACAGGCCCAGTTGGTTGCTTGCCTCCACAGTGAACCTTCATATTCATCGGATGCATCACGTTTCCCAATCAGAAACCATTTGAGTGCAATGCTTGTGAGGAGACCAAGGAAGGAGGAGAACGGAAAAAGCAGGAACCAATGGAGAATGGTAGAATAGCGCCACAATGGCAAGATTTTGTTGAGTGTGGCATGGACAAGGAAGGAAAGCGCAAAGTAGTGATATGCTTCAACGAAAAGCCATACTATCTTGAAGGCATCCAACAGACATTCTTCCCGGTACTTTGAATTTGAAGGCTCAAACGAGCCAGCATGGCATGCTGGATTGCCTCTGGCAAGTACTCCATCTGGCACTTGAACCCCTTCTTCAACAACAGACAGTTTCTCCACCTTGCTGTCATCTCCAATGGAAGCACCTGGGCTGACCATCCCAGACACATGACATCTTTCCCCAACCGTGATGGGTCGGAAGGTAATCGTTGGACCTGCTTCTGCTGACTGGGAGAATTTCCTGCACTTTATAGGGTGACTGATGACAGAGTTGCCACCAACTTTCACAAGATCAAATTCCCGAATAAAAGATTTGATCTTTGTTGTCCTTGCCAAGTCTGCTCCAAGAAGCCAGTAGAAGATCCAGATGAATTTTGTTTCCACAACAAGATGTCCAACAAGCGATTCCCAGACTTCCACAAGTCTGTCAACAAACCACCATTGAAGGTAACCCCAAGACAGGATTTCAATATGTCTGTGCAAATATGTCCCAGTGACTGCATACTTGCAGAACACAACAATGATGGAAAAAGAGAGAATGTACAGAGGAAATGCCAGGGGCAAAAGCAGCCAAACAACTGAGCTGTTGCATTCCCCAACTTTGGTGGAGTCACACTGGTCCATAAGCCAGGACACAAGAAAGTAGGATGGCACAATGGAGACAACAATCAGTAGGAGAATCACAGTTGAGGCAAGGCTTTGGAGCCATGCTAGCTGTGCCTTGCTCAACCTAGATCTTGAGGAGTTCCAAAGGAAGTCGGGGTGATTGTAATTCTCTTTCTTTGGAAACGTTTTCATCTTTGATGCCTCCAAGAAGGTGGAAAGCGCCTCTGGTGTTGGGTAGAGCTGTTCAAAGTTGGCAGGGAGAACTACATGTATCTCTTCCTCAATCTTGTTTCTGAGCTCTGCACTCTTAAGGGAAGTGAGCCCATTCTCAACCCATGGTTTTGATGTGTCAATTTGTGAACCAAAAACAGACATTATTGCGTCCATAGACCTGGCAGACACTCTATCTGGGGCCACGGCTCGAGCAACTGCAGTATCATGCAACATGGGGTCTGCAGTGCTTGTCTTTGCTGGAAGGTTTGCCAACCCCCACTGGTCAAACTTGGACAGCCAGAAATGTTCATCAAGAGCAAGGTGATGTTTGCTTTCTGGTTCCAGTCGGACGTATCCACACTTTTCTGCACAGGAGAGGTTCAGCTTCCCAAAATAATGCAGTGCTCTTCTTGACAGGATTGGTTCATTATGGAACTTGTTAAACATCAGCTTCCTTCCCACAGCCTGTGTAACCAGGTGCAGACTAATCAACCTTGCATAGAAGAAATGTGCATTGACATCTCCGATGATGCAAGGAAGCAGCAATTTAGACAAGGACCAGGTGGAAGAATTTCTGTCTCCAACCCCTGAATTTAGAATCAACAAAGTAACACCACAGTGAGATTTTACCATACATTCCCAAGATGGCATTGTTGAGAAAAAGCAACTTACAGGCCACAATATGCATATCCCAATCAATGTACAGATTATTCAAAGCACTTGTATCACATGCATGCTCCATCAAAACCTTCTTTGATTGGGTTGTGGCTGTCATCACAGGATTTGTAGCAAGTCTCCTGCCGACTTCTGAATTGTCCTCGTGTCCATTTTTTTGCTCCACCCAAATAGCCTCAAACATATTTAAACACAGGAGGTTATTGATTCTTTCAACCTCTGCATTAATGGTCGGGCTTTCAGCTGGTCCCAAACTTTTTAGGACAATGTTCAGTAGTGCACGCACTGACCTGTTCTTTATCCAAGTAAAGAATGGCCACTTCCCATAAATCGGGTCTTGATCTGGTAGGTCCAGCATCTCTTGTAGCTCGGTTGGGACCGTTTGAGTAGTCTCATGAGTGCCTTCCCACTCGGCATCCTTCTGCAACTTTTGCTCCATGGACGATGGGTTATCCACCATGAATGTTGTCACCCATTGAAGGACAAAGATTTGGTGCACCAGCTGCGAAAGGAAATCTGTCCTGTCATCAATCAAAATCCAGTCTGGATTCACAACAAGACTGTGAGCAAGCTGGCAGATGGTTGGGTGCTTGTCCTCAAGATGCTTCAGGATTTGGGAGCACATGACTTGCATTGCAGCTGTTGTCTTGACGGCTCTGGACCAAGCTTCTTCAATGCCAGAGACCCCAGATAGATGAAGCTCAGAGAAATACTCTTCCAACTTGCTGGGGTTGCACTCCACAGCATGAACTGCTTCAACAGCTTTGCTGGGGAGGGTATTTGTTTGGTTGAGGTCACTGTCAGGAAGCTCCTCAAAGTTCCAGTTACCAGTACTCATCGATTGCCTCATGATTTCATGTTCAGTTTCTTCATTCAGATAAGAATCATTGCTGCCAATGCCATGCATTGAAAAGCTTCTCTCAAGAAAAGAGGGATGCTGACTCTTCTCAAGAGGAGTAAGAGCTTCCTGCCACTTGAATTGAAGTAGTATGGAAGCTCCTTTCCAGTCACCAGTCATAGTTGTCTGCCGAATCTCGCTTCGTTTAAGCTTGCCAGAGGTGGTTTTTGGTGTCACACCCAATTTCAGGACAACAACCTCTGTGGCAAAAAGTCCATGCACTTGGGATACATGGTTGGCTATTTGGACAGCCAATTCTTCATTTTCTGACTTGTCAAACCCCTTGCGGCCCTCCACAGTAATTCCAACACTTGCATCGCCATGCTGAAAGGCACTGGTTCTTCCTGGACGGATAACATCACCAAAAGCTTCATCAATAGAGAGCTCAACATCGCTTGGATAGTAGTTCTTGCCATTAATGATGATGACATCTTTGAGTCTGCCTGTGATGTACATCTGCCCATCAACAATCTTTCCCAAATCACCAGTGTCAAGCCAGGAACCATCATAGCTGGGCAATGCATTGGCAAAGGTAACGGTGGTTAGCTCAGACTGGCCATAGTATCCGGCAGCAACCCGAGGTGACTGGGCCCAGATACTTCCAACCTGTCCATCCTCCACCTCTTGTCCATCCTGTACAATTCGAAGCTTGAGGGTAGGTGAATCTACTTCCCCACAGCAAACAAGTCCTTCAGTGTCTGCCTTGGCTGGCCCGCCAGTTACAAGCACTACCATTTCAGCCATGCCATAGATATTGTAGACATGCTCAGGCTTGACCAAAAGAGTCTTTGCCACTGCTTCCACAACATGGTGCTGGGCGGGTTCCCCACCAAACATGGCACGCTTCACACAACTCCAGTCTGCTTTCCTGTCGGCCTGCTCCAAGCGCTTGAGGAGCAAAGCATAAGCAAAGTTGGGAGCAGAAGTGATGGTGGCCTGATATTTCTCAACCATATCAGTCCACAGTAATGGATTGACAATGAAATCCAAGGGAGATGCCATAACAAGGGGGCCAGCCGAATATACAGCACCCATAAACCCAGTGACAAGTCCCATGTCTGGTCAAACAGCAGCGAAGTGAGGAACGAATCATAACATAACATACTAATGTAGTGGTATTTGTGGTAGGAACTTACCATGGTATTGTGGAACCCATAGGACTTCCAAATCATCAGGTCCCAAACAATCCGTCAAAGAAACTCCAGCCTTGCACGTTTCGGACAAATTGTTGTGGCTGATCATGACTCCTTTTGGACGTCCCGTACTTCCAGAGGTGTACTGGATGAAGCAGATATCTGTTGGCTCTCCCACAAATGTCTCATAATCTTTGGGCTTTTTTGGATTGCTCTTCTTCATTTGTAGCCTGTCGGTTCCAATCCACGTAACACCAGTCTTGTAGAGGATGCTGGCTGCGGTCATGGCAGTAGCAAAAGTACTGGTGCTTAGGGCATACTTGGCTCCAGCATCATCGGCAAATCTGCGGAACTTTGGCATATCCGTCTTGAGCTGATTTGGATTGGGTGGGTAGATGGAGCAGGGGATAACTCCAATCTTCATGGCACCGAACATGCCAGCCAAAAACTCGAGGCCGAAGGGGTATGCCACCATGACACGATCTCCTTTCTTGCATCCCAATTTGAGAAGACGACCTGCCACGGCATTGGATGTGTCCTCCAGCTGCTTGAATGTCATCTTGTTCTGTTCCTTACACTTGATGTCTACCCAAGTCACCACCACCTTGTTTGGTGATTCTCTGGTGTGGTGGGCCAATGCCTCAAGGATGGTCGAGAACTTCATTGTTTCTTACAGTTGGTGGTTGGAATTTGTTGTGCTTGGACTGGCTGGGTGCATGGTTCCTTGCTTGTTTGTGCTTTGGTTGCATGGTCTTGTGAGGAGAGGAGAGGAGACGAGAGGAGAGGAGACAGAACAAAACACACGATGGCACTAACAGCAAACCCGCAACTGCTCTCAAGGACCTGCAATGACTGCAAATGACACTCGACGACTGGTCACGGTTGAAAGCTTTACCAGTGAAACATCCCGCTTTATCTCTCCAGTCCACTCAAAGACATAAAGACTTAGTACCATCGTGAGGGATTCCTGTACTAGAGAGCTAGAGAGTAAGGAGTGACATCTTCTGTATTGTGAGTGCACTAGCTAGCTTCCGGTATGGGGGGAAACTGCAGGGAAGTCTGACAGATAAATGACAGATGGCTACCGATGCCACTGGTTACGGACTAAAAACTTATGGGTCAACCCCCATACTTCCCCAGAGATAGATCAAGCGATCAAGCCCAGGCAATCTCCCAATCTTTGGTTGGCAAGAATTCGTGGGGTTATCAGATTCTATCGATTCGATTCATCATTCACCAACTTAATGGAAATTGGAAGAACTTTGGAACAGAAATCCCGCTTCCTGATGTACATTGTGGTCTACTTAGATCTAGTTAGTTAGCACCAGTTTTGTTTTTTGCTAGATGATCTAGCTGGCTGGCCAACCAAATGTGTAGTAGCTTGGCCAACTCTGTGGACTGGTATGATACCGTGCTGCAGGACCTGGTTTTAGCTAGGTACGTTCCTGTGCCTATAGTACGTTTGCGTTACCCTTATCTAAGTTAACAATAGTACCTTTGCGTTACGTACCCGTCTAAAACTGTATTCCGATTGCTTCCTGCCAGTAGAGCTGCCAGTAGTATGCATTCGTTCGTGGTTTCGTCGGAGGACGGAGCGGTACCGGTATACGAAAGGGACGGAATTGAGCAATGTATCAGTGGAGCTGAGGAGTTCGGAAGTACTGGTACCGGTACAAGCCGCTGCCGCGAATACTTGCCGAATCGAATCTGTATGAAAGCGACAGGAACATGGGCGCCATGTTGACGACGGAGGTTGTAGCTTTGCAGTTCCTTCTTGTTGACTTATGGCTGATGATAGTGTTGTCATTGTTTATTAGCTAATGATGCAATGTACTACCGTGGTGGCTGGTGTGTTTGTTGTTCGATTCTTCTCTGCGGATGGTGTCTTTCTGTACCAGGAACCGTGTCGGTACGGAGAGCCCACAGACTGTACGGTAGGTGGAGTGACACAATGCACATCGTAACGTCCACCGCAGCCGAGCAGTCAAGCAAGTCGCCAACGAAGACCAATGGACCCCGCCGATGTACTTTGAAGCCGCCCACCGGTGGACTAACCACCAATCAGCTTTGCTCGGGCGTTCAAAATGTACGAGTACACGACGAGCCTCGCCTTGTATGGTTGGAAAACAGCTTCATTCTGCTCGTGAAATCGGGTAGCCTATTAGTACTCTGGGAACAGCGTACGTGAACAAAGTCGTGCCCGTTTCAAGGATGCAGCACCGAGAGTGATCAAAAAGAGCTTCAGAAAATGACAGAATCCAGGTCAAAGAGGAGAGAACCTCTCTGCCATCAACACGCCCGTCATGTGTGGCTTGAGGTGGGCGCTTCAACAGGACCAGCAGTACGCCAGTTTAGCCAAAAGCAGAACATGGGAGCAAACTCATTACTATTGTGGGAACTAATGCAGAGTACGTTGATCGCATGGGCTTGCCATCAATAACATCAGACGTACTAGTATGTACATTTTGTGATCCAGGACGTAGTGCACTTTCTCTGGTACCGGTACGGTATGGTAGTGTTTATGATATCGCGCCGAAGGCTTGTTGCTTTTTTGTTCTCTAGCTAGCTAGCTAACAAGTTAGCTAGCTAGTAGTACGGAAAGCAGGTCCCTGGTACCATGAGCTCTTTCTCTTCTTTCTTCCACCCCGGGTGGCAAACTGATAGAAGGCAAGCCATCCGGTGTTCGTCCACCACAGCCCTTGGTGGCCTCTGATATTTATGAAGCCGGTGTGTATCTTGTCTTTGGCCGTCTACAGAAAGTATGAAGTTTTGATTCGTAAGATTTGCTCACAAGAAGAAAAAGCCTTTAAATCCAACCTCCCAACTCTCATAAATCTCAATGTTCCTGTTGTACATGGCGGCCTCGCTCTCTGTTCCGTCCCAAGAGTTAGAACAGCATGGAAGAGCTAGGAAGTCCGAGCATTCCTCACCGGATCATCGCAAGCCGCAAGCAACTGCAGTGCACTTTCGCGAACCAAACCAAACCCCACAAAAGCAAAAGGAAGCACACAAACGAGTACTAGTAACAAGAAATCAAGCATCAAAATTTTACATCCCCCTCAACAACAATGATTTTCTCAAGCATCCTTGAGGCCCTCAACCTCCATGCTACTGCGACCCCTGACAAGGTTGTCTTTACGTGGGTCAACAAGAAGTGTGAAGAGCAAAACAAGATGACATTCAAGCAGCTGGAAGACCAATCCAATGCTGTTGCTGCTCGTCTCCTCAAGCTGGGATGCAAAAAGGGTGATCGAGTCATGATCGCCTATCCCTTTGGCCTCGAGTTCTTGGCTGGCATGTTCGGTGCCATGAAGATTGGAGTCATCCCCTGATCCATCTATCCACCCAACCCCAACCAGCTCAAGACGGATATGCCCAAGTTCCGTGGATTTGCCAAGGATGCCGGAGCCAAGTATGCGCTCACAACTAAAGCGTTTGCTACTGCCATGACTGCAGCTAGTGTCCTCTACAAGACTGGAGTGAAGTGGATTGGAACTGATACGCTACCAATCAAGAAGGGCAACCCCAACAAGCCCAAAGGATATGAGACCTACAATGGGGAACCTGAGGAAGTCTGCTTTATTCAATACACCTCTGGCAGCACTGGACGACCCAAAGGAGTCATGATCAGCCACCGAAGCCTTGCAGAAAATTGCATTGCTATTTCTGCCATGTCCGGTACAAATGCTTCCAATGTTGACACTACAGTGGGAGCCTTGTGGGTCCCACAATACCATGGTAAGCTCAAATTTGCTGTTCCCAATGCTGCTTTAAAAAGCCATAATCCTCTCATTTTTTATCTTCCTTTTGCTCCTACAGATATGGGGCTTGTGGCAGGCTTCATGACTACACTCTATGCTGGAAGTTCCCTTGTCATGGCATCCCCTTTGGATTTTGTGGTCAATCCACTTCTATGGAGTGACATGGTAGAGACCTACAAGGCCACCCTTACTTGTGCCCCCAACTTTGCATATGCATTGCTCCTCAAGAGGTTGCAACAGGCCAACCGAACAGCTGACTGGAGTTGTGTAAGGCGAGCCATGTTTGGGGGTGAACCCGCACAAAGCCACGTTTTGGCTGCAGTGGCCAAGACCCTTTCCATCAAGCCTGAACATATCTACAACATCTATGGTATGGCTGAGTCGGTGGTGTTTCTTACTGGCGGACCAGCAAATCCAGACTTTGAGGAGCTTGTCAGCTGTGGTGTAGTAGATTCCCCAACCATCAAGCTTCGAATCGTACAGGATGGAATTGAGGTTTTGGATGGACAAGTTGGCACTATCTGGGCCCAGTCACCAAGGGTGACAGCTGGGTACTATGGTCAGCCAAAATTAACCACCTCAAATTTTGCCAATTCTTTGCCAGGCTATGATGGGATGTGGCTTGATACTGGTGACTTGGGCAAGATCCTTGATGGGCAGCTCTATGTTACTGGGAGAGTCAAGGATGTCATCATCATTAATGGGAAGAACTACTACCCAACAGACGTGGAGCTCTCCATTGACGAAACTTTTGGTGGCGTCATCCGTCCAGGCAGGACCACTGCTTTCCAGCTTGGAGATGCAAGTGTTGGCATTACTGTGGAGGGCCGCAAAGGTTTTGACAAGTCAGAAAATGAAGATTTGGCTGTTCAAATAGCCAACCATGTTTCACAATTCCATGGGCTGTTTGCCTCTGAGGTTGTTGTCCTCAAGCTTGGTGTGACACCCAAGACCACCTCTGGCAAGCTGAAGAGGAGTGAAATCAGGCAAACGACAATTGCTGGTGATTGGAAAGAAGCTTGTGTACTCCTTCACTACCAGCGGAATGAATTTGTTGATCCTCTTGCCAAGGGACAGAGGTCTTCTTTCTTGGGGATAAGCTTTGCAATGAATGGTGTTGCCAGCAGGGAGTTTTACCTCAATGAAGACACTGGACATGAGATGATAAGAGAATCTGTGAGTGTTGCAGTTGTAGGTGGTGGGGCTGCTGGCCTGATCACAGCACTCAGATTGGCTCAAAGAAATGTCAAAGTTACTGTGTTCGAGCAAAATGAGCAGATTGGGGGCCATGCCAGGAAGGCCCGCTCATACGACTGAAAATCGCCAAAATCGGCATAAAGTCGCACAGGAGCACCAAAGTCGCATTAAAAGTCGTTCTTAAAGTCGCATGCGAGTCGCACCAAAGTCGCATGCAACTTTCTCACACGACTTTGAAAGTCGCGCAAGTTGACTGTAAGTATGGCGATAAAGTCGCGTCGGATCGCTGAAAGTCGTTTGGAAAGTCGTACCAAAGTCGCGTGCGAGTCGCACACGACTTTGTGAACGACTTTCAGCGATCCGACGCGACTTTGACCATAGCAAGAAGAATCCGGGACTAACAGTCGCATGACCAGGCCTTCCAGGCACACAACAGTCTTTGGCCATGAACGCAACCCAGCCTTTGGAATGTTCCTTGGCAGTGCTTGGCCAAACCTCATGGCTCTGGCAAGAGAACTTGACGTTGATCCAGTTCCTATGGCCACAGCTCAGGAGGTTAGAGATGTTGTAGGGATGGGGACAGGCATGATCCCAGAGGCCAATCCAGCTGAGATTCTCCGTTTTCTTGCGGAAATGAATCTTGTTTACAAGTCAGGAACAGGGCAGAGTGAAACTATTGGGCAATACATGGCCAGAAATGGATTTGACCACCACTTTGTTGTTTCTTACTTCCTTGGAAGAATGATCAGTTTTTTTGCTGGCAATTCAATTCAACAGTATCTGGACTATCCACTGGATCTGATTGCTTGGTATGTCGCAGCCATGGTCATTTCACCTGCAGATGAAGTTCTGTTCCGCATGCGCAACAAGGAATACATGGCTGCATTTGAGCGGAGACTTCTGAGCCTAGGTGTGGAGTTCAAACTTGGCTGTTCCCCAATCATCATTGGCCGAGATAAAGGTGTCTCAATCTTGACCGGCGTAGGAGATGATGACATTCTGCGGTTTGATAAACTTGTGCTGGCAGTACCACCCAATGCTGCACTTCAGGTTCTGGGTGAACATTGCTCTGATTATGAGGGAGTCCTGGTAGACTTTGAGTGTCCGTTAGAGACAGTTGTGTACCACACAGATCCAAAGTGGGCACTTCCCAGCAAGATCAATGGAGTATTTGCCAACATCCCAGACTGTGGAGCATCTTTGCCTTCTCTTGATGACACAATCCCAATCACGTCATCATTACCAAGTGGTAAGTGCATTATTTCTCCATTGGGTTGCTGGAACCACCTGGATGCACTCAAATCTCTCTTATGCTTTAACAGACACTGACAACAAGACCCCTATCTATGCAACGCATGCCTACTCCACCTTCAATGAGTTGGAGTTTGCTTCCCCTATTGAAACTATGACATTCACCCACACAAAAGTCACATGTAAAGCAATACTCCTTCGAAAGTCTTTGCTGCGGCATCAAGGGAGGCATTCTACCTATTTTGCTGGTGGTTGGACATGTGGTCTCATGTTACATGAGGATGCTCTTGTAAGTGGAATTCAGGTTGCAAATACCATCTTACATGAATTGGGGGGGATGTCCCACGCTATTCTCAAAAGGACCATAGCACATGGTGCTTTTGGAGGCGACAGTGACGAGGGGGGAGAAGAAGATGAGCTTCCAGGAATGCAGCCAGAGAGTTTCACCACCAGATTTGCCAAGACAACCACATGTATTTTTGGATCAGACCTAGATTTTTCCAAGACGTGGACTGAGAATGGTATCACATCTCTGAAGAGCGCAGAGCTAAGGAACAAGGTGGAAGAGGGGCTTCTTGTAGTTCTCCCAGCTAACTTTGAGCAACTTTACCCAACACCCAAGGCACTTTCAGCCTTCTTGGCCACATCAAAGGGCGAAAGCTTTCCTAAACAAGATCTGGACAATTGCCCAGACTTTCTTTGGAAGTCCCCAAGATCCAATCTCAGCAAGGTGCAGCTTGGAGTCATCCAAGCTCTTGGTTCAACTTTTATTCTCCTATTGGTTTTTGCCTCCTTTATTCCATCCTACTTCCTCGCGTCCTGGGCCATCGACCAAAGCAGCTCAGCTGCAGAGGAAAAGCTCCACAAGCTCGCCTTTTGGGTGCTCTTGCCTCAGGTACTACCACTATTCTTTCTATCTCTATCTGTGGTCGTTGTGCTGTGCAAGCTTTGTGTTATTGGGAAGTACCTTCCAAGACATTTTGAACTCTTATCGTGGGACTATGTGTGGTGGTGGTTTGTTGACAGGCTAATGGAGGTTTGGGAGTCTCTTGTGGGAAAGTTTATTCTTGAGACCAGATATATCTGGATCTTCTACTGGCTACTTGGTGCCAACCTGGCATGGTCTGCCAAGATCGAATCATACATCCGCGAGTTTGACCTTGTAATAGTTGGCGACAACGCTACCATTGGCCACCCACTAAAGTGCAGAAAGTTCTCCCACTCCAAGAATGAAAACCCATCAATCACATTTCGCCCCGTTGTGGTCGGAAAGAATAGTAGTGTGTCAGGCATGGTTAGTCCAGGCGCCAAGATTGGAAATGACAGCAAGGTGGAGAAACTGTCAGTTGTTGAAGAGGGTGCTATAGTACCAGATGGAGTTCTGGCCAGAGGAAACCCAGCATGTCATGGTGGTTCCTTCAAACCTCAAGAAAGAAGCTACTGTGAAGACTCTGTGCTGGATGTCTTCAAATTTGTTTGGATCATCTTTGAGGCGTACCACTTCTTCTCACTCTCCTACCTGGTCCATTTCACCCTGAACCAAATCTTGCCATCCTGGCGCTACGCCACCGTTCTCCACTGGTTCCTATTGTTTCCAACCTCCTCTTGTCTTGCTTTTGGTACAAGTATTGTTCTCAAATGGCTTTTGATTGGAAAGAGGGATCCATCTGATGAATATGAGGGTTCTCTGTGGTGGCGAGCAACCAACTGGGCATGTGATTTCCACTTCAGCGCAGCTGCTTGGCCACTTACTGCATTCATTGGCCATTCCAAGCTCTGGATGATCATCCTTTCCCTCCATGGGCTCGATGTTGATATTGAATCAGTGATGAACATCAGCTCTCATACCCAGTTCACTCCTTCTAAGGTTGATTATGTCAAGATTCGGAAATCATTTGTTCCAAACATCTACCTCGACCTGAGCAAGCAAGCAAATTCCAAAATTGAAATCATCAATAGCAGTGTTGGCTATTATGTCAATCTTCATGCCGGTGTCAAGATCATGCAGTCAATGATCCCCCCCAGGTCTACTGTGTCAGAAAGTATTTATGATTTGAACACAGCAGACCATGCATGGAAGCCAAACTTGAAAGATCTGTTGTTCTCAGAGTTTGCACAACAGCTGATGAATGTGATCTTTTTTGCTGCCCTGATTCCCACCTATGAACTTGGCCTTTTAGTTGCCACCAAGAGTTCATCTTTTGTGGTCTTATCCTTTGGCTTGATTGTGGCATTTGTCCTTCAGCTGTTTTTGTGGCTTGTCATGACCAGAGCAGTCGAATGTGCTCTGCTGAGTTTACCACCATACAGCAGGATTCAACAGAGTCTGTATGGAGTCTATATCAACAATGTTTGGTTCTTTCGTGTCCAAAACTGGCTTGTCTATCTACTCTATGGCACCCCCATGTTTGCTACCTATGCCCGGATGATGGGTTCTGAAGTGGATGGCGACCTCTGGTACTTTGGCAGCACCCTGTATGAGTATGGCAAACTTCATTTCCATGGATGTACTATTGTGGACAGTGCCCATGTCATGGCTCACTACGTGGACATGAAAGGACTCACAATCAATGACACATACATTTCTGGCATTTTGCATCCAGGTTGTTATGCTTCTGCTGGAGCAGTGGTAACTGGTTCCGAGAATGGTCCATGGAAGCTCTTTTTGAGAAAGGATGATGCCCAAAGAAGCAGGAAGCCATCTCACAGCACAATGGATGATTTAGAGATGCTGGGGTCTAGCTAGCTAACTTGGGAATGGTCACAAACCCTAATAGGAATATCCATCTTGCAAGAGGTGTAACCTAGCTAAACAAACAGTAGTCTACTAATGGAGAGGTGCATCTTGCTTCCTTATACTTTAACTTTTGATCAACTCCGCTTGTTGGAGGATCAACTTCCACCTCCCAATGTCCACATTTTCATTAAGCCAGCGGAGCTGTGTAACCTCGGCAGAAAGGTTTCAGTGTAGAAGCAGGTCAGATACCCCTATTAGCTAGCTAGCTAGAAGCAGATACATGTAGTGCTTAGCTAGTGCTTAACTTGCGCTTAAATAGCTAGAAGCAGATCCCCTAGCTAGAAGCAAATTCCCATAGCAAGGTAGAAGCAGATACCCCAAGCTAGCTAGAATACTAGTTAGATAGAAATAACGAAGTTTTATTATTTAGGCTGCACCTCAATAGACCACCCGCTGAACGGAGCCATATTGAACCTATGGTACCCGTTTGCTTCACTTTGGATGACGTCGCTCACGTCAATCTCTCTAAACAGCCTTGCTGTCTTTTCAAACCCTCTCAAATCAGCAAGCCACGAAAAGGGTTTAGAGTTCATGGGTGGATTATCTAATTAAGCCGCTGTGTAACCTCGGCAGAATGGTTTCAGTGTACAAGCAGATACCCCTATTAGCTTGCTAGCTAGAAACAGATACCTCTAGTGCTTAGCTAGTGCTTAACTTGTGCTTAGCTAGCTAGAAGCAGATTCCCATAGCAAGGTACTAGAAGCAGATACCCTAGCTAGGAAGAATACTAGTTAGATAGCTTTTGCTAGCTTTAGAGTTTTTCCTGGTAGAAGCAGATCCCCCTACTAGGATGCATGTAAATAGCTTTAGCTGGTTTAAAAGCACCATCCTAGCACTAGTAGAGATACAGATAACAAGAGGCAAGTAGTTGGTTGGTTGGTTGGTTGGTTGGCTTGTTGCTGCTGTTGCTGCTGCTGTTGCTGTTGCTGCTGCTGCTGCTGCTTAAAAGACTGTTAGTCAAGCCTTTTGTGTTGGTGAGCAATTTTCACTAAAGAGCCTCCCGTTAGTCAAAAACGACGACCTTTGACTAACGCGTTTAGTCGAAAATAGCTTTAGTAGCATGGGTAGACACTGCCAACTTTCGACTAAACGACGATTTTTTGTTTAAGAGCGCCTTTAGTAGCTTCGGTAGACAGTGCCCTAAGATACTTATTTAGTTTTTGCTGACTTATTTGTATTCTAACCCTACCCTTATACCTGCAGGGACCACCGTAGCAGAAAAAACAATTAAAGGGGTTGAGGGCTCTGGCAGCAAGACTGCCGAGGTTTATATAGTCTATTTACGTCTAGACCACTTCCTCAAGGGTGGACTCTCCAAACTGTGGACCAAACACCATGTGGGGAGACTATCTCCATCATGCTCAAAAGCATACATCCAAGAAGAATGGTACCGTGTGGACTACTAACTTGGCCCAGCTCTTACTCCAACAATTGATTCTACTTTGGGATGACCACAATGCAGCCAGGCATGGCCGTGATAAACAGCAGTAGTGGATCAACAAGCAGCAACAGCTTCAATGGGAGGTAGAGCCTCTGTATGAGCAGGCAGACCAGGTGCCATTATTTCTAGTCCACTCTATTTTCAAATGGCCACTAGAGAACCAAATGGAAATGGCGCCGTTCGATATCAAAGCCTGGCTTTCAAATTGGATGCCAGTGGTGGACAGAGCAAGCAGAGAGCAGCAAAAAACTGGCAGCAGCCTTCCATGAGGCAGTGGCAACTTTGGATCAGGTTTTTGTGTCTGACCTTGATTCAGACGACAGCAGTGTTAACACTACTAGCAATAGTGCAGCTAGTAGTGGTGATGACAGCAGCAGCAAGGGCGGGTCCAGTTGCATGTGACCTCCCCCCAGGGCTCAAAGATCTTGCCTCGGTTGGGTTTTAAACTTTCCTAGCTGAGGGGGTCAACTCTCTCTGCCCCAACATTTACGGGGGTTATCGGTTTAGAGTATCGGCACGGTAGACAGGTCATACTCAGAGTAGCCTTAAAGTAGAATTCTATTACATGTGTTGATCCATTGTCAGATTAATGCTGTAGGACATTGGGAGTGTGCGTTCATTGGGGTTTGGAGGAGCCATACTTGTTCTGGTTTGAGGTTTCCGGTGTATTTGTCATATATCAGCCAACTGGAGTTCATGGATAGCCTGTTGGTTGGCTGCTTCTGCCTTGGTTTATGCGTCCTTGCATGTGGGTCATGATTCCCTGCCTCCCAGAGTCCGAACCACTGGGTGATCCCTGTGCGCCATGTTTGGCCATTTTTCCTGTGGGTTTTTAGATTTCATTCTGCACTATGCAAAAAGCTAAAGATCTCTCGAGTGTTTTGAGTTGTAAGAGAATGAAAATTATGAGAGATTAGAAAAGCTACAAAAATTAATCAGAGAGAGAGAGAGAAAGAGAGAGAGAGAGAGAAGAGAGAGAGAGAGAGAGAGAGAGAGAGAGAGAGAGAGAGAGAGAGAGAGGAGAGAGAGAGAGAGAGAGAGAGAGAGAGAGAGAGAGAGAGAGAGAGAGAGAAGAGAGAGAAAGAGAGAGACAAAGAAAAATGATATCATAAAATCAAAAGAAACATGATGAACATCCAACCGATGAGATTATGCCATAGAGCCATAGTATGGGTGCGGCGCAGCTGTGCTGGCTCAGTCTGGTGGAAAGATCGCTGTGCATCTGTACACTCTTTCAGTACAATGAGCTGTGTACCATCAGACAAGATAGGAACAGCTGTAGAGGACATAGAGTTCCTCTGCAAGGAAGGATGATGCAGTTCCTCAGCCATGACCTATCTAGAAAGATAGCTTGGTATATACCAGCCAAAAAGAGAGGCATGGATCTGTATCCTGAATGGCTGGATGGAGTTTACAGCAAAATCAGAGTTTGTTTTCATATTATAGTTTAAAAAAGTAATGAAGAAGTAGTTTACGACCTGAGAAACAGACCCAACAGCACAAGTAGAGCTCTGCAGTAGACAGGATCCTGTATGGCCAGTGCCAGGGTATTGAGCAATTAGACTGTTCAATCATTGCTTCCACAGTGATTGAATAGCATTGGCTGCCAGCCTTGGGCTGGCCCTTCCAGCGCCAGTGGAAGGAGATCTCCACCAAACAGAGCTCTCCATCCCAGCTCTTGTGCACCTACCAGCTGAGTTCCTTTGGAATTCATAGGATTAAGATTGTCGCAGATTGCACGCACAACGAGTAGCTCTGCAGGAGTGTGGAAATCGAGGAGAAAGAGTGAGAGGAGTTGCTCATCGGCCGATCGACTGCCGATACGGCGACGACCGAAAACTGGAATACGACGATTCAAGTGAAGCACTTGGTCCACCTACTAACCAAAGGGTGCTCTACAAGATACACCGGCTATCTTCCTACCAATCGGCCTACCTTTTGAGATCGGCGAGTGGAAAGCATCGGCTGATCCACCAACAAGAAATCGCGACAAGAAAATCGCGACAAGCGGCGACGCAACCACTGGACCTTCGAGGAGGTATCCACTGGTCCACCCACTAACCTGAGGTCCTGTCAAGATCCACCAGCCAGTTGCTTGTTAATCGGCTTGGTTACGGCGGCGATAGTGGAATAGACGGCATATCATCATTGTCGGCTTTTTGATACGGATTATCTCAGTCGTGCGTCCGGAGGATACTGCGGGGAACCGGTACTCACACGTACTCACAAAACCGGTACGGAAGAAACGTCACTCGGAACGTACCTCTGTTCCGAAAGCAGGCCGAGCCCAAGATCCGAGTCGCCTCACATTTTCCTCGGAATTCCAACTCGGTATTAAAGATACGTGTTGATTCAGGTGTCGATCACATAAGGAACTCCAACACCACGAAGAGCACCTTCATTGGTTTCGAAGGATCCAAGGTTACCAGTGTGTCAAGCAACCTATGTTTAGTCATTGACTAGCAGTGCAAGCCTTCAGGACCACTTTTGGATTTTCACAGCAACACTCTACACACACTACAGCGCGCACCAACAACCATTATATGGCTCGCAAGAAGAAGAAGCAACACAACAGGCCCAGCTGCGTTGGTGTTACACACCCAGCATCTAGCAAAGCACTGGTAACACACAGGTCCACCACTGCAGACCTCCACATCCAGTTCCATCAATGGAAGGACACCTGTGGACCCCCCTGTAGCCTACCAGTCAGGGCCTCCCATTGTGACTCCTTCCCCACCAGCCAACCAGGTGTTACCCTTTCAATGATTAGCCACCAACTGGCAATAGCATTGAAGAAATGAACAAATGAACCAGCTCCCTGGCCCCACCACAAGGCCAAATACCAATCAGCTTGGTTCTTCCATCCACATGACTCATTCCTGCACACCTGGTTTATCACCCAAGCCTAGCCCTGAGCATAAAGGCTAGGAGGACCGATTCAGAACCAGGCAGCTTGGAACAGAGTTTGTTGGTGATGTTGAGACCCTCTTGGTCTCCATCCCAACCCAAGTTGCCATGGATGTTGCCCCTTCCCCTGCTAGAGGTGGATACCATCACCAGGTGCGGGCCCTCAATGGGGAGGTATAACCCAACCAACACCAATCATACTTTTGGCATCCCAGCAACACCCTATTCAGTGAATACCCAACTACAAACCATGTGTCTTCAGCAGCCTATAGCCATACCTATTAGGCCCACATCATCAAAGACACCAGTACACTCAGCCATCCCTCAGCCACCAACCTACTGATCACCTGGAGAAGCCAAGAAGGAAGTCAGTCGGCCAACCTACTGATCAACGGAGAAGCCAAGAAGGAACGTCGCTTCTCCCCACCCCTGATGCAATTGGTGAGTCTTTCCAAGTCCCAGAGGTGGTGCGAGAAGTTGGCAACACTAGGCCCTCCAGCTCAGCCCTTTCGTGCCAATCCGGATGCCACGCCTACCCTACCCTCAACTCCAACAAGGACTTCGACCAGTGGTAAGAGTCCCTTATCACTGTGGCTAGAGG